CCTGTAGCAGCTGCTGTTCCTTGCTTCAGAGGACTTATGATCTCCTAGCTGATTTCCTTATATTTCCTGCCCATATTGACAGCCCCTTAATTCAATTCTTTTCTTAAATGCGAAAAATCTTTCCCACCACAACTGTAATTGATACATATCACCATCAATGCATAACAGCCTCAACAGCTTTCGTCCTCTACTGTGAAACTTGAATCTCACATGAGGCCATGAGACAGAATAGCTGAAGTTTGTGGTAACAGAAACAAACACATACACTCCATTTACCTTAACCAATAATGTGCTTGAGCTTCTTCATGCAGCACACTAAAGAATTTTATCAATCAACACCTAAGTTTTAAGTGCTTTAGACATCTCAGGCTGAATCAGAGCACTTACTATTTTGAAGTTTTTCAGTGATACAAGATCTTCTCTTTCTGTATCTTTAAGCCTACTCATTTGCTGAGTATAATCATTGTGTGACAAAGAACATAACACACAAGGTTATTAGGCACTAACATGTAGGTTTCCTTCTGCAATGGCAAGGATAGCAAGGTGCATGCATACACAGGTGTGTCACCCTTTGAATTTGGAGCCCTCTAATCAAATTTGGCAGCAACAGCAGAATTTTGAGACTAGCTAAGATCCTAAAACCCTCTAAACATCCCTTTACTCTGGATTAAAAAGCCAAACTCACTAAGAAAAGACAAAACAATTATTCTGTGGAAGTTTAAAATGGAAAGGACATTGTCTTCTGGGACAAGCAATACAGAAGTCGTATGTTCCTTCGTGGCAAAGTAGAAACAACACCCTCTTCAGTGCACAAATACTACAGTGTGTAGCGTTTTCGGCACCTTTCAATCATACCAATTTTACATGTCACTATAGGAAATCTAATCTCACTTGATCAGCAGAATTTGTGTGAATTCAAACTAAAAATTTCACAGAAAAGAGCATGTCTTCAGAGTTGGCATCAATAATTGTCACATGCCAGGGTCACATAAACTGGGAAACAATACTGCCTGTCACCTTTGCCAGGATTCAACTGAGTTCTGTGAATTTTAAATTTTTTAAGGTCTTCAGAAATATCTTTGGCATGAGCTGTATGTGTCCTGTGTTCATACGTGGCAGAGATGAAGAGGACAGGAAGTCAAGGGGATCAAAAATGGTGCCCTGTGATTTGGAGTGAGTGGGGGAAAGGAGACAGCAAAAGGAAGTGCATATGACTGGGAACATTTTTTTTAATACATTGATTTTGCCATTTTTCTTCTCTCAATGCTTTAAAAATGCAACTTAAAGTATATAAATCTTTCTATCATCAGACTTGAGTAATGTCAACATTGATGTCTTCAGAAAACTCAATGCAGACCTAAGAAACAGGACTTTCTCTCTCTAAGTTTATAGCAGATGAGCAGCTGAATGCTTATTTATGCTTTTAATAATATAATTTCATTATACTTGAAATACTTTAGCATACTGGTTAAGCAGCAATTGAATTCTTAACATGAGGTTTATTTTGTTTTTGTTTTTTTTTTTTTTTTTTTTTTTTGGTTAAAATTGCTGGTGGAATTTCCCTTAGGTGGAAGAACTTTGCCATCTCTGTAGCTCACAGTCTTGGCACATAAAACAGAGCTCCAGGCAATATTCACCACAAACATCCATTTGGGGAATACTCTATAATAGGAATGTTTTCAGGTCTTGATTCTTCAAGAAGACCATGCCCAGTAATTGATAAATGGAAAAGCATCTCCAAAGAAGTACCACAAAATATTCTAGTACTAAATTTCCCACATAAAGAACAGTTACATTTGATAACTGTAATGTCACTCAACCTTTCTTGATGAACAGCAGGTACACAAGAAGGTGCCCTATGGGTCCATTTGTACACAAGTCCCCACCCATGAAGTATAGGCCATATTAATCATGCCATATTACAATCCTCATAAATCAGTTCTATTCATTTAGATGCACAAAGCTATATTGGTTAGCAAAAGCCACACTCAGAATGAAATATAATGTGGTACATCGAGATCAGGCCTCAAATTGCGAAGGAATTAGGATAATAGATCGGATAGGGCCCCTCACAGCACTGAGCACAGCGCCAGTTACTCTGTCATATCTGCATATGGATCTGAGATGTAGTATTTACAGCAAAGGGTTGTTAAAGGCCTATAAGTAAAGTTAAGACATGTTGGTAGAAGTGACTATTTAAATGCAATTTGCCATAAAAAAAAAAAAAAGAAAACATGCAAAAGCATTTGGCTAAAGAAAAGCCTCTTATTTAATCTTGAAAAGTCCTTATTGCTGAATTTGTACTCCCTATAATAAAGCCTATTTTAGAAAAAAAAATAGTAATTATTTATTTCTAAGCAGTCTTAGAGCATTGAGAAAACTTACATGAAAAGATCACAGAAAAGAAGATTGTTTTCCTATAAACTGTAATAAGACTATTAAAAAAAAAGAGAAGAGGATGGATCTCTGAAAATTTCTTCACATCTCAGATTTTCTATATTTGCGTAAAAGCATGGGCATTTTAGTATCCAATTAAAGCAACTCCAAGATAACTGATGTGAATTAGAAATTATCTGTTTTCAAATGTAAAACAGAATCATTATTGCCTCATAACACATCTTTATTCAAAACACTGAAATGAAAGGATTTGTTGTAAAATGAAAAATAAAACCATCCAAGACATATTCATATTGCTTTATATATTTTAACTGCAGACATAGGCTGCTTGCTCAGGACACAATTAGTAACTACTTATATATCGAATCTTAAAGCAGATTTCTAAAACTAATTTAACTCTGCCTCCTACTTCTTCATTAATTACCAGCTAAGGGATTTGCAAGCGCCTTAATGAATTTTACATTAGGTTCTGCGATATGAACAGTATATATTATCAGAGCATCTAGTAAATGCAAAACCTGGCTTTTTCAACTTGCATTTTGAATAGTTGTACAGATTCTGGCTGGATTTTACCACATTTGGTCCCAGAGACTAACTGAGCCGAAAATAATTTTTATGAGAATCAAGTTGCTGTAGTCACATTTCCTGGGTCATAATAAACCTTACTACTTTCAAATCTTCAAACTGCCATAGGTCTGAATGTTCTTCTTCTCTCTCTCTCTCTCTCTCTCTCTCTCTCTCTCTCTCTCTCTCTCTCTCATAGAGTTCAAAGAGAAGAAACAATCCTACCTCCATTGATTTCTACATTTTCCTTGAATAAGAGTTTAAATATTGCTGCTATATGTGCTTTCATAAATGTCTTAAAGTACATACCATCTAGACATTAGAAGACCACTATATTTTGGATTAAGCACTTATGGTTTACAACTTACAGTCACTTAACAACTTCATAAAATTCTTTGAAATCAGAAGATTAGGAAAATTATAAACAAATGAGGGGGGGGAAGGCAGAACACTATCAAATTCTAGGAAGACACAGGTAAAACCTTAAAATTGCTTATGGGAAAGAAAATACAGATTCCTCTGGAAAGCTCAAGAAAAACGTTCTTTAATGAGATAGCTGTCTAATTTCACATAAGGTAAAAGATGACAAATCAAGCATTGTCCAAGTAGACAAGATATCACAAATAGCTCAGCATATTTCACTGAATGTTTAGCGCAAATGCGGTAGGTAATGACTGAATACACTGCTGGCATAAAGCAACAGTCCCATAGTGCTGAGACAAAGTATTTTAATAAAAGTGTAAAACAGGGTAGAAGCTATAACAGAGCTCCAAGTTTATAAAAGCCAATTACAGACTCTCGATGATTATTCTTTTTCATTGTTTGTCTATATCCACTTTTCACTCCAAACTACTAATTATCTTAGGGTTCTGGAAAGATTCAAAATCACTACCATTCACGCTGTTCAAAAATAGCACCTGATGATCTTACTAACATATACGAATATTTTTAGTCATGTGCTCAGAAACCATTTGAATTGTATAGTTATTCACTCAAAACTGTTTTTCCTTATCAGGTGGTAAACATAATCAGATAAGGTGATCTGTCATTAACCATCAAGTATTACCATCCTACAGAAAAGCTCACACGAATTTCTCAACCTTTTGAGTGTACAGGTTTCTATCTGTTTACTAAGGTTCTATATGATTATTTAGATGAAAGAAGACAGATTAAGGTCGGGGAATTAAAGCTTTAGACAATTCTTCATGGCCACAATCAAAGCGTAGCATTTCGTTGACCACTTAGCCTCTCAGAAGTTTGATGGCCCATTAAAAATATCTGCTATCAGGGTCAACTAATTGGGGGCCACCTGTCACTGTCCTCATGATGGCACTGGCCAGACATTTTTCAGAGACAGCTAAAATGCTAACGGAGTTCATCATTTCGGAGCCTTTTAAAAAATATTTACTTGCTTTCCACACTTCAATTTAAAGGGAGTTTCTATGCTACAAATGTTTAAACACTGAAATCCACAGCAGTGAAACAAATATTAAAGATCTCATAGCTATTTCATTCTTTCCCTGCCTTCACATATTACAGAATTCAGAAATCCAAAAAAAAGGAATGTCCTTAACACTTCCCCTGCTAAAGCTCATGAGCAAATCCTGGAAATAATGTAGGGCTTAAAAAGATCAAAGAGTTCTAGAGAATTTCCAAATACCTGCAGAGAGAACAGCTATGTGTTTTTCTAGCAACTGCAGGGAGCAGCAGAGAGGGGGAAACCCCTTACACAAGAATGCATTTAAAAAACCTTTCTACTCTGCAGACGCTGCTTTGCTAGATGGAGGCATATTTAAATAACAACAGTACCAAGAAGGCAGAAAAGATCCATCTAGAGAATCCAGTTCCACCCCACACCAGAGCTGCACTGCACACATTTTCAAAATCGTGATTCTCAGCAAACACTGTGGTATTGGACTGACAACATTCAAAATAAACACAACACAGAAATTAGTGAGCCTTTCTTGCCATTCAACTTCATCACCATGCTCTAGCAGCCTTGATTTAAAAAAAAGAAAAAAAGAAAAAAAAAGCATTACCTGTGTGAAGAGAACCTGTTAATAGCCTGAGCAGGTACTGGGCAAATTTCAATATTTCCCGTTTACACCGTTTTCTACAGCCACTCATCTTAAGCAACAAGATATTCTTCTGAAGAGAGCCAGAAGTCTTTGCCAATAAAAAAGAACCACAGCCTCTGAGGGGAAACTTCTGTCTCAGTTTATGTCACAGGCAGCTACAACTCCTGTGGAATTAGCTGGAAGTGCCTCAATCAGAAGTCCCTTTCCACGCTAGAGGAGCTGCACAGAGAAAGGTCCCGGGCTGGCAAGCAAGGGCTGCTGCTCCTGTGGCCACCAAGTTGTCTGTGGCAACAGATAGGCTGCTGCTCCGGAGTAGTAAGCTCTGGCTCGCTCAGCAGCACTCTCCTAGGAAGCAACTCGCAGGCCAGCCCGGGAGGCGGGGACTGCCTGCCAGCTCATCAATGAATCAGCAGGGAAGCAGGTGAGGGCACAGCTGAGGGGTCACTGGGGCTGACACCCCCGGGTGCCAATCCAAGGAACCTGCTGAGGGCTCCAGCCTGCTGGGGGAGGGATCTCAGGGTCCCAGGCTGTGTCCAAAATGATCCCCCCAAGAAGGGAGGTGGGAAATCAAGCAGCTCAAGGTCAGACAGCAGAAGGTTCAGCGATCCTGGTCCATGGGATTCTGGAAACTTAACAGTGAGTGACAAGGTCTCTCAGAGGCTGACCCTGGTGCTGAACACACTCGGTGGATGATTGCCACCACCAGAGGGAGACACCCCTGCCTTCTCACAGATAAATGGACCCCCGCTTCTTGAGCACAGAGGGGGACATAAGCTGTTGGCGAAGGGTGGCCCTGTGTTCTGCACTGTCCCGGCCGGCCTGGGTCTCCCTTAAAATAAAGCAGCTG